TCGATTTTAGCCCCCCTAAGCTCTAGTACCTTATCCGAATTTAATACCTATAGAGTTTCAACTAAGTTTATTTTATTCAAAACAATTTACTATCAATTTTTTCTATACAAATATTTTATTTTGCACTACGTTTACGTTATATTACTATTGTAGCAAATAAAACCGTTATTTTGAGTATATCAATATTCTAATATTAAGCTACCGATCATCATAATCGTTAGCTCAGTCTTACAACCACCAACTAACCGCCATCATTAATACAGGTATTACACATTATATTATTATAAAGCCATCTAAATTAATGTGGTGGATTAGAGAGGCAAAGTCCCACACGGCTCTGTTAACCTTACATAATTTTAGTACCCCTTGGATTTTTGCTCTAGTTGTACCATTGAGATGTGATCAATTGATTGAAAGTAATAATATAAAACTGATATCTACCAATAAAAATTTTATTTAGACCACACGCCATTTAATAGTAAAAAAATAATGATAGGTTCTCGTTTGACTTTGAAAATTACTCCTAAAATCAACAAGGAGTGGCAAGGAAGGGGAAATCTAGCCCTTGAAATATTTTATTTTGAATAATCAGTTTTATCAAATGAATTTTATATGCACTAAAACATAATTTTATAAAAATTAATGAACAAAAAAAATCATACAGATCAAAATTTACTTTGTCCCTCCTCTGTTAATCATCTTATGAGTATCATACTAGTAATCCATACGAATTCAAGTGTTGAGGCAATAGAAATAAACACATGAAACTATTTCTTTGATTTAGACTAGATGAACATTTTATATAAAAATTGGCCATGCTTGTACTTCCTATGATTAAACAAGATGAACCAAAACTCTTTTAGCTTTGTATTAAGAGTGTGCATTATGAATTCATTATGAACCCAAATTATAATCATACCCATTGAATGTAACATGCCCACTCTATGCTTGTAACTCGATTAATACTTGTACTGAAGATTGTATATACCCATCAACATTTTTCGTTAGAAAAAGGCTACAAAATACTATTTTGTAACATTGAAAAATAAAAAATGTACTTTTTTCTTATTAGGAACAAATAACTGATAAAAATATTCTTTTAACGTAGTCTAAGAATGTAAGAATTGTATTTAAAAAATTACAGTAGAATTGTTATTAATTCAAAAGTAATAAGAGTTGTCGGTTAGATGTAGTTTATACTGCATTTTTGTAAAAATTATTTTAAACTAATGATTTAACATATTTTATTATTATTGAATAATAAGGTTTGGTTTATGATATACATTGAATATATTAAATATAATATCAGGACACCGATTTAACTAAAATAAGGTCTAAAAGTATCATAAGAAACACACATTCAACTTTTTACTTATTAATTTTTATGACATTGTGGTGTACATATATGTATACACCATAGTTATATATGTATATAGAGCTTTTGTGTTGTGTCAGCTAAAAAAAAAAAAAAAAAAACAGTAAATTGATCGACACATCAGATTTATTAACAGAAATATGGTAACTACTGATTGTATTCTCTTAGGTTACCTTAGGTAAAACATTTAATATACAATTTTATTTTTAATTAAAAGAAAAAAAAATCTCTTATTTCGATTCTAGATAATCATTTGTTCGGAGGAATTAGAGGTATCTCCTATACAAATTAGGCAGTTACACAAAAACAAAATACAGTAAAATTTATTCTACTGATATTCAATAATGAGAATATTTGATAATTATTATAAACTCTTATTTTTGAATATAATTGTATAAGATATTTTTCTTTAACAATTTTTAACAGTAAAAATAAATTTGATAAGATAATTCGAATGTTGGATTTTTTCCTTAAGAACTAAAAAGTTGATAATTTAAAAATAAGTGGACTGAAGATAAAGTCGACGAATAACAACTCTGAAGTATAGCATGATTTACTTTAAAAAAAAACAATTTTTTTAATTAAAAGTGGTCGGATCTATTGCAATGTGTTCATAATTGAATCATCTAAAAATAGTTAAGATTTTATTCGTCTCTTATGTCCATAAAATTGTCTTCTTTCTGTTTAATATTTTGGTTTATTTAAAACTTCTTAAATTACCTGTCAACACACATAAAACTAATTAATATTATAACTGTCATAAAATATAAATATTTAATAAAATAATTTTTTTTTTTTTATTAATATAATATCGTTTATAGATATGTTGACATCAGCAATAGTTGATCCCTAAGCATTAATAATATTGCTATAGTATTGACGCTGTTTAATGTTATTAAAATTGATTAGTATATATTTGTTAACTAATTTTTAGGATAATATTTTAAATTTTGTTTGGAATATCTTTTTGGTTTAATTCTTCACCTTTTATTTTTTATCTATTTATATTTTCAAAATGTTCAGAATTATTGCTTTTTAGTCTAAACAATGGCTAACAATTTGACCACTACTATCATTCTAAACAGTGCAGGCAAATCAACTGCACTAAATAAATATACATTGAAAATGTTCTCCATTAATCCAAATTATGACAATATTGTTATTAATTTTCTACATACTTAAACAGTTGCATTTTACTTATTTATACAGATTAAATATTATTTTATAATGATATGATATTTACAATGATAATATTAGACGTTCAATTATGCATGCGTGATTATTTTGTAAATATATACAAACAAGATGCATTTTATATGTGTATGTTTGGAAAATATGTGTTCATGTACACACATTTTCTAAACATTTTTTTAACTATCATTTTTATGTAGAAATAGATATTTATTAACTTTTATTTATTTATTTAAATATTATTCTAATTACACTTAAATCTACATTAATATCAATGTCTTATAATACCAAATTCACAACCCATACTTTCATAGCACTTAAACTGTTTTCATATGAATTTATGCGTTGGAATATTAAGTATTTCCTTCAGTTGTCATTGGACTTGATTTTGATTATATTTGACAATTAAATAACACCTATGTTTCTTGTTGAACAAAAGTGAGCAAACTTAATACTTAATAACTAAGATGCAAAATTATTTTACAATAAATTTATTTAAAATAAAAAATCAATAAGTATAATTATTATCATTCAAATAATCCAAATGTTATCAACTCATAACAGCTGTTATACCGGTGCAGAATAAACGAAATTTCGCCTATTTTAAAATATCAATTCACAAATCGGTTACTCGTGAGTTTACTTTTTAAAATGTGATTTTATTTTAATCTAGGGATTTTTTGTAGTGTTCTTAACTGCAATAAATCATTTTGGTTTTATTCATGGAGAGCTTTACACTAATGTGTCAAAAATCGAATTGTAGACAGACGGTAACTTGGTCGGACGGAGCAGATAACACATCATAATGAATACTACATACATGTATTTAAATAGAATAAATGAAATTATAACAATATAATTCTGTCAATGGAACTATCCGTTCTACTATATCCAACATGTTACTCAACAAAGACATTTTTATTTCCTCGTAATTAATACATCCCCAAAAGTCAACATCGTTATCCTAATAGATATCAGTCAAGTCATTATCAAATGTGTCGCTTAGTCATTACATCGAAAAACTAGTAATGTTCAATTTATATTTAACTAAATCACTATGTATCTATATTTATTTCATTACTAATTGTGATCATTGGCAATTATAACCCGACACGAGAGAAGAAGAAAACTACGAATCTGATAAATCCATTGTTGATTTAATAATACTTTTGTAAAAATAAAATTTACTCACTTTTATTATTTAGTGATTTTATGAAATTAATTAATTACTATAGCAATATCTATACCAGTAAATAGTATAAATATATACATTTGTTCAAAACTATATTCATAGTGAAATTATAAATTAATTTTGTTATTTTTCACAATTTTGATGTAGCGTGGCAAACTATTTTCCTAATATTTATAATTTATAATTATTACTTAAATAAAAAATAATTACTAAAAATGTGTAGTTTCTCGAGTACTATTCGTCGATTAATACAAATCGCATATACAAAATACTCGAGTATTAAAAAGTTGATTAATAGTAATAAAGTCTAACATTATCATAACGTTATTGAATTGTGTTAATATAAAAAACAACAGTCTCGTAACATACATAAGTACTCTGTTAATACTTCTGAAAATGTGATATGTATATCTGTAAAATTAAAACTTATGACCAATCAAATTATCTGACTAATTCAGTGAAAATATTAATAATTATTAATATTATGAATTTTTTTAAACGTTTACGTTTGATAAAAATTATCTATTAAAAATTCTGGTGCACTAATTAATAAATTTGTAACTGTATAAAAACTAATAAATGGCTCCACAGTTAACGCATCTATGTTGTATTATGCATTTGGTCTTATTTTAATGTTTTTATTGTTAAAATTACACTAAATACAGTCAAACAGTTATAGATATGTAATTTTTTGTAATCCATGGCTTACATTTTAAAATTTTTACTACTCTAGGCGCACATTTTCAAAGCACGTCATCCAGGTAATACCACATGTTAATGTAAAGCCGGATCAATGTGTTACTATTTTTTTTACAAAGACATATAAAAATGAATTATATTCATTTATAAATTGTGTGTTATATAATAAGATGTGTAATACGTACTAGATGTATGGCTGTTGGGAGATAAAAAAACGACAGCGGCCATAAAACTACAGTTTCAAAAAATGTTCACCGCAGCAACGGCTGGTTGCGACTAAAGAAAAAATTAAAGGGGGACGGTGACGGTTAGATGTACACCGAGTGGGGGACGATATGCCGGTACGTTGGTCGAGTCCCGGTTGGCTGTTGCCATGGACGACAAGGGCGGCGCATACGAATCAGGCGCGCGGGCCGTCGACAGCGAACCAATGTGCGTGCGGTCGATCGGCGTCCGCCACCACCGCTGCGTCCCACCATCCACGTTCGCAGCACCATCGACCCCTCTCCCCCTTTGAAACGTAATATATGTGTGTGTGTGTGTGTAACTTTGTCCAACGATCGAGGCCACACCGATATACACACTTTAGTTTGAACAGCCAAACAGACCGTCGTTGTTGTCATCATCAACACCGCTATCGCGTCGCAGTGTTTGTGAATTCCCCTCTAACCAAATACACACACGAGCTGTTGTCTACGAGCTCATCAACTCGAAAATTTGCTATTAGTGTTTGTTTTTCCAATCGCGTTTTGTTTGATAATATACTGTCCGCTTTTTCTGCGTGTGAATGTGTACTAACGACCGCGACTTTAACGTATCGTACGCGTATCGCCTACCGCGACCTGTTGCCAACGCGTGTGGTGTTCAACTGATGACCATTTCAAAGGCCTCCAGCGTCAACATTGTGTAGGTACATTGTTATACATTTATTGTTAATTATAGTGCGGGATCGAGTATTTTCATTTTCTTGTATCGTGTGATGCGTTCAAGACAGTAGTGAACAATGACAATGCTATCGCAGAAACTGTTGTACTCTGACACGGCAGCCGCGGCCGCGGCCGCCGCAGCTGCTGCTGCCGCCGTCAACGCTGCCATGTATAACTCGTCGGCTGCCGCAGCCGTGGCTGGAGGTGGCAGTGGCGGAGGCCCGGGCGGACCGCCGGGCTCTGCAATGTCGACGCCGTCGCTGTGCTCGCCGCCGCCGCACCAACAACAACAGCAAACGCACCAGTCGGTGTTTTCCGGTAGCAACATGATGACTGCGGCGGCCCTGTCGTCCAGTGGCAACTGCATGTCCGGTATGCAACAGCAGTACGGTGGCAGCATGAGTTCGGCCATGTCAGCCGGTACGTCCACATACGCGGGCCTCAACAGTTCGTCGCCCGTAGTCGGCCCGGGTTCGGCCGACCCGGCCAACGCCCTGCAGCGAGTACGCGCCGATAAAACTTACCGGCGGAATTATACGCATGCCAAACCGCCGTACTCTTATATATCGCTGATAACGATGGCCATACAAAACTCGCCTGTGAAAATGCTAACGCTATCCGAAATCTACCAGTTCATCATGGACCTGTTCCCGTTCTACAGACAAAACCAACAAAGGTGGCAGAACTCGATACGGCACTCGTTGTCGTTCAACGACTGTTTCGTTAAGGTGCCGCGGACGCCTGACAAGCCGGGCAAGGGGTCGTTTTGGACCTTGCATCCGGACTCGGGTAATATGTTCGAAAACGGATGTTACCTCCGCCGACAGAAACGATTCAAAGACGACAAGAAAGAGCTGATTCGACAGCACAGTGGAAGTGGAGGTAACAGCGATGCGCACCATTCGAAAAGCTCATCGCCTATGCATCACGGTAGTGTACAACACGAAGACAAGAAACCGATCATTGACCACCACCACAATAAATTGGGCGGTCTCATGTCCACCACGGCCGATCTGGGTTTCGGGTCTGTCATGCATGGTCACAAGCACGGTCACTTACACCATGACCATCACCACCATCATCATCATGACGATCCGTCCATCATCGGTACCCTACTCCAACACCATCATCATCACCACGGACATCACCAGCAACAGCAGCAACAACAACAGCAGCAGCAAAGCCCTGTGGACTTGTACGCTGCCGCCGCCGCAGCCGCTCATCACCATCAACAGCAGCATGGTCACCATCAGCAGCAGTTACAGCAACAACAATTACAACAACAGCAAGACCAAGAACTTGGCGCCATGGCTCGATGTCATCCGTCGTCCACACATCATTACACGGCAGCCGCGGCCGCGGCCGCAGCAGCTGCTCACCTCAAGTCATCGGCCGCCGCTGCCGAGTTCGCAGCGTCCAATCACCCGTTCTCGATTACACGTCTGTTACCACCGACCGCTAGTGCTGGTGACAATAACAAAGGGTCCTCTGCCGCGGCCACGGCCGCTGAAAAGATGTACGAGATGGCCGCTGCGTCACAGTACGGCGGCGGTGGTGCCGGCGGATATAACGATTACTACCAACAGCATCACCATCATCATCAGGGATCTCTTTATCACCATACGCCGTCGTCGGCTGCGTCCAATTTGTGACATCAGTACCCGCTGGCTTGAGGGAATCAGCAAAATTTGAGGCGTTTATTCAAAGAACTCCAACCAATACTGTACGATGGTGAATTCTGACCATTTAGTGTAATTGTTTTTTTAATTGAATTAAATATTTTCGTTTTTATTTTATCATTAAATCATGTCACCGTAAGTAGTGTGCATAAAAAAAAAAAAAATTGAAGATGCTATTATCATTATTAGTATTATTGCCAACTATTATTATATAGTTTTAATCTCATCAGCGAATTCGCGCTAAGTGTTAGCAACATTATGTATATTTTAATATTTATAGTTGTTATTTTTTTTCATCAGATTTTTTTTTATTTCAAATAATTGATTATTGTTAATTGTGGATAATATGAACACCCGTAGGATATCAAAACCATTACTATGGTGTTATACAAGTAAATTTTACTCGATCATCGAATACTTATTCTTGTTCATTTGTTAGATCATACAAGATGTAGCGGATAAATATTTTTCAAATTCATTATTATTTACTAATTTGAAACCCCGATAAAACTTCGAATCTCCTACTATGTCATATTATATACTGTTCTGTTTTTTTTTTTTATAAGAATATATAGTAATCTCTGTCTAAATGCATAGTAGGGATTTCAAATCTGTACACAATATATATATTTTTTGTTTTTTAAAAAAACTATTTAATAAATTTGGTGTATATTATGTATTTTTTTTATGTTTTTAAACTTTTAGTAGTTGTGTATGTATGTATGTACGTTAAACCGCTTTTGTAATCTTACCTTAAAAAATTATATTATATGTCATGAAAAATGAATTTTTTGTGTGCCGCGGGAAAAATACATGATATATTATATTAACACTGTGTATATAATAATATAATATTGTAAATAAAATAAAGTTATTAATTAATCCTGTTTTTATTTAGCGTTAGTGTTAAGCAAACATTTTCTCCTGAATTTTTTCTTTTACCGACTACAAAATGTCGTATACATATATTTGTATACTGAAAACGACCCAAAATCAATAATAATCATTTAATAATAATGCCTAGATACTGCTGTAATTACTTGACATAACTTAATGCTTTAACAATTAATACAGTTTTAAGTTAATTATGAGTCCATTTTAGTATAGATTTTACTATAAAAAAAAAAAAACATTTATGATCATTTTTTCTTTACACATATAATACATGTACATATACTTTACCGAACAAAATGTGAAATATGTAAAATACTGAACAAAACAATTATGTATGTTCTTTGACATAGCAAAAATTTTCTAAGATTATTGATTGGGTTGGGTTTAACAGTAATTGAATTAATAAAATCAAAAATAATATTAAATTTCTGTTTAAAAAATAATAATTCAAGAGTCGATTTAGCATGTTATTGTTTTTCGTTTAAATTCGACGACTATCATATAAAAATCATATTGGTATGAATATAAAACCTAGCAATTAAAAATAAATAAATATTAAGAATTTTTACTATAAATATACAATGTTCAATATACATTTGTAAATATTAACATTAATAAGAGGACTGTGTTAATTTTACAAATTCAAAATATAAAATATCCTATAGATAAAATTTGGTCCATAAAAAAGGCATATGAACATTTCCGTTTAAAACAACCTTGTTTGATGTTTTGTTGGATAATGTTAATCGTCGCACAATTCAACGAAACGTTCAAGTTCGAATAAAAGTGGTTGTATAATGTGTACAAAGGAGTCCCATTGTTGTTTATCGTTGGACTTATTTTTTCAATTAATTTATCATAAAAAATAATTTTACATGCATCAATAAATGGAAGTGAATTTTATAATCGTGGAAATTCGAACTGATTAAAAGCTGTAATTTTATTAACATAGATTTTACTTTGACTTTATTTTGTGAAAAGACTTTAATTTATGTTAATTTATTTATATATATATATATTAATGTTTTATAAAATATCATGACTATTTTCTTGTAAATAATTTTTTTTATCTTCATTATTTCACTTTAAATAGTGAACTAGTCTTTATTTACACTGAATAAAAAAAAATGTATTAAATAAATAAGGCTTAGTAGGAATAAACTAATCTACTGAATTTTACTACAACTCATTTATGAATTAAGAACTCCAGTAATTAAAATTAACAATAGTTGACTCAAGAAAGTTTATTGTTTGTAAATAATTGCGAATTTTTTTAGACATTTTTAAATGGTGACTATCGTGTTAAATAACTACGTACATATAAACTGTACGGGTTTAATTTATTTTCATTATTTAGCAAAGTTTATTATTCTATTTATCCAAATATTATACTTAATCGAGGTGATACGTGTGTTTCGTGATACGCCCATAATTAATGGTAGTTTAGTAAATTAAAAAATATTTTTGTTCACACCGAAACATTAATAAATATTTTCGGTTTTACATACTTTTAGTATAATTTATCGACAGTTAAATTGTACACAAGTGTTAGAGCGTTGTACAAAATGAAACATTATTACCAGAAGGCGAACAATAAATAGATGTTAAAGCATTTTACATGATTATTTTTATTTTGTATATTAAAATTGTTCTTTAAAATATCGAAAATAAGATGAACAGTTTCGAAAAAGTAATTTTTATGATATATTTTTTTTAAACGACTGCGATAGTAACATTTGTATTCACAAAACTTTAAACATGTGCAAAAAATATGTCACCTGGCTCGCAAAAAGAAAAAAAATTGTCAACTTGTAGAACAATAATTTATAACTCAAAACGACGCTTTTTATTTTATAATAGTAGTTTTTTTTTTTAAGAAATCGACATTTTATAATGTTATTCTACGTGTACCGAGTATACATCATTTAATGTCTACTTGCACAGCGTACAGTAGTACACGGTATTTAACAATAATTATTTAGGCCCTTTATTACTGAGAGTGAATAATGAATTGGTAAAGCTAATAAACTCGGCACAATCAGTGGTTAATGTCGATGGCGTTTGCCTTATTGACTTGTGTTTGCGTTCGCTTTAAAACACAACATATTAATACCGAGTATAAATTTACTTAATAAATTGCTCGGTGTGGTTGTTGAATTGATGATAATATTATGACGAATACACTGGAACGCAAAACATTTAAATTAATGTAGCTGTGCCCTTCTGATATCCGCAGATTTTATATGCTCATAAGTGTGTCGTATTATTATTGGAAACTTTTCCCTGCGCTTTTGTGCGCTCCAAGTCATTGTATAGACAATCAAGAGTTACACGTCCTGATGTCGTGTGAAAAGACAAGATATTCTCGGCACCGATAATCAGAGCCACTTCTGGCGGTTTTATTTGGGGGCACGTTAAAACAATAGGAGGTTCCTGCTGATGGCAGCGTACCGTGTGATCAATTTGTCGTGGAAAGCGACTGTTTAAAAAAATTGACGGAGGTGCCTCTACATGTGTAATGTAATAAATATACGAGTGTGTGTACACAGTTAATATTAGCAAACACACCACGGCAACGTCGTCGACAGTCGAGTACAAGAGTGGTTTTTAAATAATAGGCTTATCTGTGTTGCTTGTGCTTAATGTTTGCATTTCATATCTGAGCAACTCGGCCCGAGATAAAACCGCTGTTCCGGCCATTCCTCTCTATTGTAATGTGTGCGTGGCACCGGGTAAAAGATCACTTTTACACAACGTAACCGTGGAAAATTTAATGTTATTATATATATATGTATTTAACGAGTGACGAAAATGTTTGCTCTTTGTACTCGCATTATCTCTTCATAAAACACAGACGGTGCAAGAGGCGTGTTAACAATTGTGTTGTGTTGGCTATTTCGTCGGCAGCGAGAACCTCTCACGTGTACGCGGGGAGAGTCGTGGAAAATAACATTCTCGGCTAGTGTGTGTCGCATTCCTGATTGTTTTCATATTATTATCATTTTTTCCACAAACACCGTGGGCGTTGCTGTTCCATCGCAATAAATCCAAAAAAACGGACGCACGTCGGTCACAACGCGTCATTATTGTTTAAAAATAACATAATAAACGNCACCGTGGGCGTTGCTGTTCCATCGCAATAAATCCAAAAAAACGGACGCACGTCGGTCACAACGCGTCATTATTGTTTAAAAAAAAACATAATAAACATGTTGGTCAGTGCTTTGGCAAGGGGGAAACGCGTGCCTTTTTGTTTGACTTTTATGCGCAATAATAGTCCGAGTCACGATGATTTTCGTTTAGCGAGGCCCATATGTCGCCTTCGGTTCCAGTCAATGGTTATCCTCGTACACCTGCACGCCCCCGCCGATTAACGCGTCGACGTTTTAATTATTTTTAAGTACCTACGGGCAAACAACTCGGCGTTACCAATACACTCCGACCGTAATGTGTCGGCCAGTTCGATATGATTGGTGGTGGTGGTGAGTCATGTCAACTACGACCTCATCTCAAACGAAAAAAAAATAAATTCGCCGATAATTAGAACGGACCGCCCGTTCCACCGGAACAGTAATCGCGTTGTTTGAATAACTCGACGGCACGAATAATCCAAATGCTTATTGTCAGAGAACATCAGGTACGGGACACCGTCCGAAGGCCGTGTCCGTGTAGAATTTTCGCTTGGGTCGGCCGACTGCGAATCAGAGTTTATTATCGTTGTGATGAGCATGTACGCGGATTTGTCAGACGGACGGTTCGGCTGCAGGGTCCCCAGTGGCCGCCGACGGGTTGTGTAAACTGCATTTATTTGCCGACGAACCGCCGGTTGATTGCCAGCCGGGCATTGTGCCGCTCGGATTCCCCGCGGTAGTGAGCGGGCGGCAGAGCGAAATCCCTCGATGCGAAAATCTCGGGGCATTCACTGTCTCCTCCCCTCTTTTCACTCGTTCTCCCCCGAGCCGCTACCGTTAAACGCCGCCGCCGCCGACGCTGATGATGATGATTAACGGCGTACTAAACGGGTGCGGCACGGGAGGAGCTGCAGTAGGCCGCACGACCGCCGCCTAGGAACCGTTCACCGCCGCCGACGGGTTATTATTTTGATCTCTCCAATCTGTTCCGTGATGAATTAATTACGTCTAAACCTAAAAGGGAGTGGAGGGCGGACTACCAGTAGGAAACCGGACGGCAATCGACCGAGTGCGCCCCTAACCGCTTGCGCCCGTATAAAGTAGTTTACATGACGAGGGGGCTCCGCGTATTGTGTACACATTATACCCGTCGTAGTCCCCCGGGACCGAACATAATACGGTGGTCTATATATGCATATATTTCTATCACTGCTCCGAACGATGGCTTTTGATTTCCAGTTATTATTATTATTATAATCATCGACGCCGTCGTCCTAATTAATACCGTACACATGCGTACACACAAACGCCGCGTACGTGATGTACTCGCGTTGGTTCCGAGAAGTTCCCATTAAGACAGCTTAAAATAATTAAGCGTTTCGCCTTAAGGACCAATAAGCCTTACTTATGCGCGCGATAAACTCGATGGCGTCCCATTACGTCCTGGGCGCTTAACGCCTTAGTCTTAATTTATGTAATCGCGTCCTATGACTTACCACGACACGGACGGAAATTATGCCAAACTCTATCACTTCCAAGAGGCCGACGTAATCTTTAAACAAACGCGTTAGATCATTTTCAAATACGAACGTGTTTTACAATAAACAATAATTTTGTCCTATTTACAGAGCAGTAAATCTTTATGAATGTCGAAAAATATTTTCAAATATAACGAAAAATATGTGACGGCGTATAACGTCGCTACACATGACTCGATTCTTGTTAAAAAACAAATTATTCTTCGACGTTTTATTCAAATGAATTTCACGTATGAAAATATTAGTCGTCACTTGACCTTATTTAAACTGCTCGTGCCAGTGAACGACGTTTCGAATACCCTTTTGATGTTAAACGTAA